ACTGGGTAATTACGTCTCGTAAATACCTTTCGTAAAAACTCTGCTGTGTCATATGCAGAATGAAAAAGATTGCGTGGGTGGGGGACGTTACTGTGGGCGGGTCACAGTTCTGGTGAACCCCAAACACCAGGTCGTGAGTGTCAGTCACAATTAACTTGTTCACGGCGGGGATCGAACCCGCACACACTGTGAATCCCTCTTCCTTAACGACTGGGCCAATCCGATACATCGTCACCGCTAACATCCCACAATATAAACCTGCCAAAGAACAATACAACTAATGCAAATATGCAATATACACCCTGCACAAGTCGCCGCATCATCACTCGCTAACAAATACAAGCCATAAGACGTTCTTTTGTGTAGAAACACTGCATGAGCGAACGGAATTTCAGAATAACTAATGGTCTCTATTATTTCTGCGCTCACGGAGTCCACTTGTGGCGCTTTTTATCTTCGTGCGGAAAGTATTGAAGAGAAAGGTCGAGCGTCCATCAAAACGGTGCAGAAGCTTTTGTGAGTGTAAAATAAAGCCGACATGACACACGACATGCGTCGAGCGATGAAAAATGTTTCGTGATGTGAGGTCAGCAGCGGAGCGGATTGTCCTTGTTTAACAGGCATTCGATACGAGTAGTGCGGTACGTTTGCTTTGTATATGTTTTTTTGTTTTGCAATAGTGGCTCGAGTGACCGTGTCGGGCATTGTATGTGCATGAAACGAGCAGCAATGATTAGAGCACCGTTGGTCTAATGGTTAGGATTCATCCCTTCCAAGGATGAGGTCGGGGTTTGATTCCCCCGACGGTGCACTGCTGCTGTAACCCGCAACCTCATCATCATGCTTCAGGCTCTCCTGACTTTTACACTTGCATATTCTTCTGGGCATAACGCCTTAGACGGCGACTATGACGTTCACCGAGTCTGCGACATTACGATTGCGGAGACGAATTGTATAGGGTACGACCGAGTGAGCCGTACTTCAAACAGTACACATGTGCGTGAGAGCGTTCGGACTTTAGTAGTGGTCTCATTCGACACCAGCAACACATACAGCAAGCGTATCAAACAGCAGCGGCGCTACTACACTGCGAATAACGTCCGATACATACGGGATTTCCATCTTTGGAATGGTGGCACCGTGAGACTGGCTGGTGGGAAGTTTGTATTGATCCAAACCGAGCTATGGCGATGTCGTGACCGATGGGAGACTATCCGCGTCGGGATGACGCTGCGTCGTTCCAAATGAGAATATTGGCGTCGATGTTGTTAGAATTAACAAGGTTGTGGAGCTGATGCTATGAAGAAGATGGCTTACGGCCGGGAATGAAAACCGAAAAGTGAGTTGTATCCAAATTGTTCCTAGCTTCGAAAACGAATAGCTAGTAGTAGCCGGTGGCTCTCAGCCACCTATTTCGTGCCCTGTCTCCACCGCTTTCTGTTTTACCTATCACTGGGTAATTACGTCTCGTAAATACCTTTCGTAAAAACTCTGCTGTGTCATATGCAGAATGAAAAAGATTGCGTGGGTGGGGGACGTTACTGTGGGCGGGTCACAGTTCTGGTGAACCCCAAACACCAGGTCGCTGAGTGTCAGTCACAATTAACTTGTTCACGGCGGGGATCGAACCCGCACACACTGTGAATCCCTCTTCCTTAACGACTGGGCCAATCCGATACATCGTCACCGCTAACATCCCACAATATAAACCTGCCAAAGAACAATACAACTAATGCAAATATGCAATATACACCCTGCACAAGTCGCCGCATCATCACTCGCTAACAAATACAAGCCATAAGACGTTCTTTTGTGTAGAAACACTGCATGAGCGAACGGAATTTCAGAATAACTAATGGTCTCTATTATTGCTGCGCTCACGGAGTCCACTTGTGGCGCTTTTTATCTTTGTGCGGAAAGTATTGAAGAGAAAGGTCGAGCGTCCATCAAAACGGTGCAGAAGCTTTTGTGAGTGTAAAATAAAGCCGACATGACACCGACATGCGTCGAGCGATGAAAAATGTTTCGTGATGTGAGGTCAGCAGCGGAGCGGATTGTCCTTGTTTAACAGGCATTCGATACGAGTAGTGCGGTACGTTTGCTTTGTATTTGTTTTTTGTTTGCAATAGTGGCTCGAGTGAACGTGTCGGACATTGTATGTGCATGAAACGAGCAGCAACGATGAGAGCACCGTTGGTCTAATGGTTAGGATTCATCCCTTCCAAGGATGAGATCGGGGTTTGATTCCCCGACGGCGCACTTTTGCTGTAACCCGCAACCTCATCATCATGCTTCAGGCTCTCCTGACTTTTACACTTGCATATTCTTCTGGGCATAACGCCTTAGACGGCGACTATGACGTTCACCGAGTCTGCGACATTACGATTGCGGAGACGAATTGTATAGGGTACGACCGAGTGAGCCGTATTTTAAACAGTACACATGTGCGTGAGAGCGTTCGGACTTTAGTAGTGGTCTCATTCGACACCAGCAACACATACAGCAAGCGTATCAAACAGCAGCGGCGCTACTACACTGCGAATAACGTCCGATACATACGGGATTTCCATCTTTGGAATGGTGGCACCGTGAGACTGGCTGGTGGGAAGTTTGTATTGATCCAAACCGAGCTATGGCGATGTCGTGACCGATGGGAGACTATCCGCGTCGGGATGACGCTGCGTCGTTCCAAATGAGAATATTGGCGTCGATGTTGTTAGAATTAACAAGGTTGTGGAGCTGATGCTATGAAGAAGATGGCTTACGGCCGGGAATGAAAACCGAAAAGTGAGTTGTATCCAAATTGTTCCTAGCTTCGAAAACGAATAGCTAGTAGTAGCCGGTGGCTCTCAGCCACCTATTTCGTGCCCTGTCTCCACCGCTTTCTGTTTTACCTATCACTGGGTAATTACGTCTCGTAAATACCTTTCGTAAAAACTCTGCTGTGTCATATGCAGAATGAAAAAGATTGCGTGGGTGGGGGACGTTACTGTGGGCGGGTCACAGTTCTGGTGAACCCCAAACACCAGGTCGCGAGTGTCAGTCACAATTAACTTGTTCACGGCGGGGATCGAACCCGCACACACTGTGAATCCCTCTTCCTTAACGACTGGGCCAATCCGATACATCGTCACCGCTAACATCCCACAATATAAACCTGCCAAAGAACAATACAACTAATGCAAATATGCAATATACACCCTGCACAAGTCGCCGCATCATCACTCGCTAACAAATACAAGCCATAAGACGTTCTTTTGTGTAGAAACACTGCATGAGCGAACGGAATTTCAGAATAACTAATGGTCTCTATTATTGCTGCGCTCACGGAGTCCACTTGTGGCGCTTTTTATCTTTGTGCGGAAAGTATTGAAGAGAAAGGTCGAGCGTCCATCAAAACGGTGCAGAAGCTTTTGTGAGTGTAAAATAAAGCCGACATGACACCGACATGCGTCGAGCGATGAAAAATGTTTCGTGATGTGAGGTCAGCAGCGGAGCGGATTGTCCTTGTTTAACAGGCATTCGATACGAGTAGTGCGGTACGTTTGCTTTGTATTTGTTTTTTTGTTTTGCAATAGTGGCTCGAGTGAACGTGTCGGACATTGTATGTGCATGAAACGAGCAGCAACGATGAGAGCACCGTTGGTCTAATGGTTAGGATTCATCCCTTCCAAGGATGAGATCGGGGTTTGATTCCCCGACGGCGCACTTTTGCTGTAACCCGCAACCTCATCATCATGCTTCAGGCTCTCCTGACTTTTACACTTGCATATTCTTCTGGGCATAACGCCTTAGACGGCGACTATGACGTTCACCGAGTCTGCGACATTACGATTGCGGAGACGAATTGTATAGGGTACGACCGAGTGAGCCGTATTTTAAACAGTACACATGTGCGTGAGAGCGTTCGGACTTTAGTAGTGGTCTCATTCGACACCAGCAACACATACAGCAAGCGTATCAAACAGCAGCGGCGCTACTACACTGCGAATAACGTCCGATACATACGGGATTTCCATCTTTGGAATGGTGGCACCGTGAGACTGGCTGGTGGGAAGTTTGTATTGATCCAAACCGAGCTATGGCGATGTCGTGACCGATGGGAGACTATCCGCGTCGGGATGACGCTGCGTCGTTCCAAATGAGAATATTGGCGTCGATGTTGTTAGAATTAACAAGGTTGTGGAGCTGATGCTATGAAGAAGATGGCTTACGGCCGGGAATGAAAACCGAAAAGTGAGTTGTATCCAAATTGTTCCTAGCTTCGAAAACGAATAGCTAGTAGTAGCCGGTGGCTCTCAGCCATCTATTTCGTGCCCTGTCTCCACCGCTTTCTGTTTTACCTATCACTGGGTAATTACGTCTCGTAAATTCCTTTCGTAAAAACTCTGCTGTGTCATACGCAGAATGTAAACGATTGCGTGGGTGGGGGACGTAACTGCGGGTGGGTCACAGTTCTGGTGAACCCCAAACACCAGGTCGTGAGTGTCAGTCATAATTTACTTGTACACGGCGGGGTTTAACCCGCACACTGTGAATCCCTCTTCCTTAACGACTGGGCCAATCCGATACATCGTCACCGCTAACATTTTACAATATAAACCTGCCAAAGAACAATACAACTAATGCAAATATGCAATATACACCCTGCACAAGTCGCCGCATCATCACTCGCTAACACTCTCCCTTGATGTGCGTGCGACGTGTGCGCCCTACACCGCCATACACAGACCCGTGATGAACTTGCTGTGCTTGTCTCTTGGAAGTGCCTTGGTGAATCTATCCGCGACCATTTCTTCTGTTGGCTTGAACTCTAGCGCGATCACTGCACTTGCAACCTTTTCACGCAAAAAGTGAAATTTGATGTCGATGTGCTTCGTGCGCGAGTGGTACACAGGATTCTTGGTCAACGCGATGCAACCTTGATTGTCTTGAAAAATCGTCGTCGTGTTCTTGGCACAGTAGTTCAGGTCCTTGAGTAGACCTCGAAGCCAAACTGCTTACTGTGTCGCGCTGTACAGACTCATGTACTCTGCTTCAGTACGTGAGGTCGCGACCGTTGGTTGACGCTTCGAATTCCACGATATCACGCTTCCGTTCAGGAAGAAATCGTATCCTGTTGTCGAACGCCGCGTGTCGAGGTCGCTAGCCCAGTTGGCATCCGCGAGTCCGATCAGCTCTCCCTTGTTGATGCCGCTTAACACGATGCTTAAGTCTTGCGTCGTCTTGAGATACTTGAGAATCCACTTTGCTGCTGTCCAATGCGACTTGTCGTAGCGCTCGCAAAACTTCGCAACTTCGCCAACCGCATGCGCAATGTCCGGTCGTGTACATGTGGCGATGTACATTAAAGCGCCCACCAGCTCACGGTATGGGTACTTTGGTACAAACGCTTCCTCTTGACCCATCTTGATCAGCTTCGAGTTTCTGTCCGCCGGCGTATGCACGTCCTTGCAGTTTTCAACGCCGAACTTCGCCGAAAATCGCTTGATGTACGCCTTCTGGTTCATCTTGATCGTTCCATCTTCGCGCTTGCGATGAATCTCGATCCCGAGGCAGTACTTGAGATCTCCAAGATCTTTAATGCTGAAGTCTTAAGTATCAATGAGTTCTTGATACTTGCGATGAGCTCCTTCGTCTTGCAGAAAATTATCAAGTCTTCCACGTAGATCACGATGATGATGTACTCCTCTCTTGTCACTCGAACGAACACACACGGGTCCGCTGCACTGCTCTTGAACTCTTGATCATCCAAGTGCTGACTCAACTTGTTGTTCCACTGCCGCGCCGCTTGCTTCTTCCCGTATAGCACCTTCTGCAGCAAACACTTCTTTTTCGGGCTTCCTTCATCTTCAAAACCGTCAGGTTGGTCCATGTAGATCTCCTCTTCCACTTCGCCGTCGAGAAACGCTGTGTCGACATCAACGTTTTCTGCTTCCAGGTCTTCAGCTGCAGCGATCGCCAACACTGTGTTGATAGATTCCTTGCGCGCCACTGGTGCAAAGGTCTCGTTGCAGTCGATGCCAGGACGCTGCGTGAACCCTTTCGCAACCAAGCGTGCCTTGAACTTGATGATCTCGCCACTTGGATCGCGTTTAATCTTGAAGACCCACTTGCAGCCTACGGCCTTCTTGCCCGGTGGCATGTCCACTAGCTTCCATGTGCTGTGTTCTTCAAGCGACTTCATCTCGCTCTTCATTGCCTGTAGCCACTGCTCCTTGTAGCTGCTCTTCATTACTTCTTGATAGCTGGACGCTTGTTCCCCATCTTCTTCAGCCGAGAAACAGTAGAAAGAGTCGAAATCACCTTCGTAGTCGTCCAAATTGAAGTGACCGCGACGATGGCTTGGAAATTCTTGTTCGTAGCGAACCACGCCGCGCTTTTTCCGAACCGCTCGCACCACCCACTCTTCTTCTTCATTTCTTCCGGGTGTGCTGGATGCGCGCGTAGGAATGGTGTCTCTTGGTCGATCACTGTGCCCGTGATGAGAGCTGTTCTGCGCTCGAAGTGGTGGGGTGCGTAGCTCTTCTTCGGTCACCGGCGCTGGTATGTCTTCATCATCGGGTAGCGACGCCTCCACACTTTCCTCTTCTTCAATGACATAGAAGACCCGCGTGTCTCTGCTTAACGATAATTTCGAGACAGAATGCTCAGAGAACGTGACGCTTCTTGAAATCACGATTGAGCCATCGTCCGCACTAAGAAGCCGATACGCCTTTTGGTCCTTCGCATAGCCGAGAAAGAAACATCGCACGCCTGAGTCATCCAGCTTCTTCCTCTTCTCCTTCGCCACATGTGCATAGCATTGCGCACCAAACACGCGCATGTGATCGATGCGCGGAACCTTCTTGAACACCATCTCGTGTGGGCTTGAATTCTTGTTCGACGCGTTCGGCAGAATGTTTCTGATGTCTGCCGCTGTCATCAGTGCCTCGCACCATTACGACTTGTCGAGGCCGCTTTCGTTGAGCATACAGCGCGTCACCTCCACCAGCGTGCGGTTCATCCGCTCCGCCATCTCGTTCTGCTCTGGGTTGTACGGAACCGTGAACTCTTGCTTGATGAACTTTGCCTTGCAAAAGTTGTTCATCGTTTCGTTCCGGTATTCGCCGCCGTTGTCACTTCGCAACACTTTTATCTTCGTTCCAGATGCTGTCTTGATATCTTGGTAAAACCGCTTGAACGCACTCGCAACGTCGCTCTTCTTTTGCAACGGATAGACCGTTACATACCTGCTCTTCATCATGATGAAGGTTACGGCGTAACTGAAACCAGACTTGGACGCTGGCGTGATAGGTCCGAGAACGCCGGAGCACACCACCACGTCGGAACGCGAGCTCTCCCTGGTTTCAGCGTCTTCTTCACTTGTCTTGAATGACTTGCGCACTTGCTTTGACGTTGCGCATACGTCACACGCAACGTTCGTCTTCATCGTTGCGCCCTTGATCCTTACGTCACTAATCATGGCATTCAGCGTACCATACGAAACGTGACCCAGTCTTCTATGCCACAGCTCTGTATCGTCTTCGGCCATGTGGCACTCCGTACCATAGTCAGCGTTGAGATACAGTAGGAAATCCTGCTTCCTTTCTGTTGCGACGGGTGTGCCGCCACACTTGACCATGCACTCGTTGCGCGTTATCTCCACTGTCATGCTGCGCGCTGCCGCAGCGGTGAGCGAAAACAGGTTCTTGGACAAATCTTGAACGTGAAGTGTGTTCTCAAGGCGAGCTTCGATCCACGCATGCCCTGTCCAGACGCGCAGCTTCAATTTCCCATGTCCAATGACGTTCAGCTTCACGTCGCTCTTTGCGCTTGAGATACTTCGCGCATGATGCACTTCTTCGTAATCTTCGAACGCATCTCGATCCTTGCACATGTGTGCTGACGCCGCACTGTCCATGACCCAGCTGTCGCTCGCGAAACCTTCGCAGGCATTGAACGCGACGTTCGACTGGTCATGCTGGTGCTCCCTTGGCCCTCGACCGGAGCGACAATCTCTGGCGTAGTGCCCGACCTTGCCACAGTTGTAGCAGGTCCCTGATGGTCCTTTCGCGCGCCGTCCTTGTTGCTTCTTCGGGTACTGCTTACTCTTCCTCGTGCCTGCGTAGAGCGCCGTTGCATCCTCTATCCGTGCAGCCTCATTCTAGCGGACTTCTTTGGCGATCAACTTGCTCACGAGGTCACTAAAACTGAAGCTTGCGACGGACATGCAGAATGCCTGTACCAAGCTCTCGAAGCTTGAAGGTAGACTCCGCAACAGTACTGCGCACACTTCCTCTTCACTTGGACCGCAGTTCGCGCGCTTCACGAGGTCCTCCAGCTCCATCGCATAACCGCTCATGCTTGATGCTGCATATTTGAACGAGGCCAACAGTTCTTTCAGCCAATGTCGATTCGCCATGTCATGCCTGCGATGAAACCGCGCCAAATGTCCCCACACTTCTCTTGCAGTGGCCGAGTCGATGACATGCATCAGCTGCGAATCGCTCCGATTAAGCACGATCGCGGCGTGGGATTGCTGTTCCTTGGCCTCACTCATTGTCTCATCGCCCGCGATCGCGCCCCACAGCCCCTTCGACATCAGGTACATCTTCATCTTGTAACTCCACAACCCATAGTTCGAGCCATCGAAAGGCTCGACCTTGAAACCGGAACCGTTGTTTAAGCTCATAACCTGTTAGAGTTAACTAGGTTGCGGAGCAGATGAGAAGAAGAAGATGGCTTACGGCCGGGGATGAAAACCGAAAAGTGAGTTGTATTCGAATTGTTCCTAGGTCCAAAAGCGAATGGCTAGTAGTATCCGGTGGCTCTCAGCCACCTATTTCGTGCCCTGTCTCCACCGCTTTCTGTTTTACCTATCACTGGGTAATTATTACGTCTCGTAAATTCCTTTCGTAAAACTCTGCTGTGTCATATGCAGGATGTAAACGATTGCGTGGGTGGGGGACGTAACTGCGGGTGGGTCACAGTTCTGGTGAACCCCAAACACCAGGTCGTGAGTGTCAGTCACAATTTACTTGGACACGGCGGGGATCTAACCCGCACACACTGTGAATCCCTCTTCCTTAACGACTGGGCCAATCCGATACATCGTCACCGCTAACATCCCACAATATAAACCTGCCAAAGAACAATACAACTAATGCAAATATGCAATATACACCCTGCACAAGTCGCCGCATCATCACTCGCTAACACTCCCCCTTGATGTGCGTGCGACGTGTGCGCCCTACACCGCCATACACAGACCCGTGATGAACTTGCTGTGCTTATCTCTTGGAAGTGCCTTGGTGAATCTATCCGCGACCATTTCTTCTGTTGGCTTGAACTCTAGCGCGATCACTGCACTTGCAACCTTTTCATGCAAAAAGTGAAATTTGATGTCGATGTGCTTCGTGCGCGAGTGGTACACAGGATTCTTGGTCAACGCGATGCAACCTTGATTGTCTTGAAAAATCGTCGTCGTGTTCTTGGCACAGTAGTTCAGGTCCTTGAGCAGACCTTGAAGCCAAACTGCTTCCTGTGTCGCGCTGTACAGACTCATGTACTCTGCTTCAGTACGTGAGGTCGCGACCGTTGGTTGACGCTTCGAATTCCACGATATCACGCTTCCGTTCAGGAAGAAATCGTATCCTGTTGTCGAACGCCGCGTGTCGAGGTCGCCAGCCCAGCTGGCATCCGCGAGTCCAATCAGCTCTCCCTTGTTGATGCCGCTTAACACGATGCTTAAGTCTTGCGTCGTCTTGAGATACTTGAGAATCCGCTTTGCTGCTGTCCAATGCGACTTGTCGTAGCCCTCTCAAAACTTCGCAACTTCGCCAACCGCATGCGCAATGTCCGGTCGTGTACATGTGGCGATGTACATTAAAGCGCCCACCAGCTCACGGTATGGGTACTTTGGTACAAACGCTTCCTCTTGACCCATCTTGATCAGCTTCGAGTTTCTGTCCGCCGGCGTATGCACGTCCTTGCAGTTTTCAACGCCAAACTTCTCCGAAAATCGCTTGATGTACGCCTTCTGGTTCATCTTGATCGTTCCATCTTCGCGCTTGCGATGAATCTCGATCCCGAGGCAGTACTTGAGATCTCCAAGATCTTTAATGCTGAAGTCTTAAGTATCAATGAGTTCTTGATACTTGCGATGAGCTCCTTCGTCTTGCAGAAAATTATCAAGTCTTCCACGTAGATCACGATGATGATGTACTCCTCTCTTGTCACTCGAACGAACACACACGGGTCCGCTGCACTGCTCTTGAACCCTTGATCATCCAAGTGCTGACTCAACTTGTTGTTCCACTGCCGCGCCGCTTGCTTCTTCCCGTATAGCACCTTCTGCAGCAAACACTTCTTTTTCGGGCTTCCTTCATCTTCAAAACCGTCAGGTTGGTCCATGTAGATCTCCTCTTCCACTTCGCCGTCGAGAAACGCTGTGTCGACATCAACGTTTTCTGCTTCCAGGTCTTCAGCTGCAGCGATCGCCAACACTGTGTTGATAGATTCCTTGCGCGCCACTGGTGCAAAGGTCTCGTTGCAGTCGATGCCAGGACGCTGCGTGAACCCTTTCGCAACCAAGCGTGCCTTGAACTTGATGATCTCGCCACTTGGATCGCGTTTAATCTTGAAGACCCACTTGCAGCCTACGGCCTTCTTGCCCGGTGGCATGTCCACTAGCTTCCATGTGCTGTGTTCTTCAAGCGACTTCATCTCGCTCTTCATTGCCTGTAGCCACTGCTCCTTGTAGCTGCTCTTCATTACTTCTTGATAGCTGGACGCTTGTTCCCCATCTTCTTCAGCCGAGAAACAGTAGAAAGAGTCGAAATCACCTTCGTAGTCGTCCAAATTGAAGTGACCGCGACGATGGCTTGGAAATTCTTGTTCGTAGCGAACCACGCCGCGCTTTTTCCGAACCGGTCGCACCACCCACTCTTCTTCTCCATTTCTTCCGGGTGTGCTGGATGCGCGCGTAGGAATGGTGTCTCTTGGTCGATCACTTGGTCCGTGATGAGAGCTGTTCTGCGCTCGAAGTGGTGGGGTGCGTAGCTCTTCTTCGGTCACCGGCGCTGGTATGTCTTCATCATCGGGTAGCGACGCCTCCACACTTTCCTCTTCTTCAATGACATAGAAGACCCGCGTGTCTCTGCTTAACGATAATTTCGAGACAGAATGCTCAGCGAACATGACGCTTCTTGAAATCACGATTGAGCCATCGTCCGCACTAAGAAGCCGATACGCCTTTTGGTCCTTCGCACAGCCGAGAAAGAAACATCGCACGCCTGAGTCATCCAGCTTCTTCCTCTTCTCCTTCGCCACATGTGCATAGCATTGCGCACCAAACACGCGCATGTGATCGATGCGCGGAACCTTCTTGAACACCATCTCGTGTGGGCTTAAGTTCTTGTTCGACGCGTTCGGCAGAATGTTTCTGATGTCTGCCGCTGTCATCAGTGCCTCGCACCAGTACGACTTGTCGAGGCCGCTTTCGTTGAGCATACAGCGTGTCATCTCCACCAGCGTGCGGTTCATCCGCTCCGCCATCCCTTTCTGCTCTGGGTTGTACGGAACCGTGAACTCTTGCTTGATGAACTTTGCCTTGCAAAAGTTGTTCATCGTTTCGTTCCGGTATTCGCCGCCGTTGTCACTTCGCAACACTTTTATCTTCGTTCCAGATGCTGTCTTGATATCTTGGTAAAACCGCTTGAACGCACTCGCAACGTCGCTCTTCTTTCGCAACGGATAGACCGTTACATACCTGCTCTTCATCATGATGAAGGTTACGGCGTAACTGAAACCAGACTTGGACGCTGGCGTGATAGGTCCGAGAACGCCGGAGCACACCACCACGTCGGAACGCGAACTCTCCCTGGTTTCAGCGTCTTCTTCACTTGTCTTGAATGACTTGCGCACTTGCTTTGACGTTGCGCATACGTCACACGCAACGTTCGTCTTCATCGTTGCGCCCTTGATCCTTACGTCACTAATCATGGCATTCAGAGTACCATACGACACGTGGCCCAGTCTTCTATGCCATAGCTCAGTCTCGTCTTCGGCCATGTGGCACTCCGTACAATAGTCAGCGTTGAGATACAGTAGGAAATCCTGCTTCCGTCCTGTTGCGACGGGTGTGCCGCCACGCTTGACCATGCACTCGTTGCGCGTTATCTCCACTGTCATGCTGCGCGCTGCCGCAGCGGTGAGCGAAAACAGGTTCTTGGACAAATCTTGAACGTGAAGTGTGTTCTCAAGGCGAGCTTCGATCCACGCATGCCCTGTCCAGACGCGCAGCTTCACTTTCCCATGTCCAATGACGTTCAGCTTCACGTCGCTCTTTGCGCTTGAGATACTTCGCGCATGATGCACTTCTTCGTAATCTTCGAACGCATCTCGATCCTTGCACATGTGTGCTGACGCCGCACTGTCCATGACCCAGCTGTCGCTCACGAAACCTTCGCTGGCATTGAACGCGACGTTCGACTGGTCATGCTGGTGCTCCCTTGGCCCTCGACCGGAGCGACAATCTCTGGTGTAGTGCCCGACCTTGCCACAGTTGTAGCAGGTCCCTGATGGTCCTTTCGCGCGCCGTCCTTGTTGCTTCTTCGGGTACTGCTTACTCTTCCTCGTGCCTGCGTAGAGCGCCGTTGCATCCTCTATCCGTGCAGCCTCATTCTAGCGGACTTCTTTGGCGATCAACTTGCTCACGAGGTCACTAAAACTGAAGCTTGCGACGGACATGCAGAATGCCTGTACCAAGCTCTCGAAGCTTGAAGGTAGACTCCGCAACAGTACTGCGCACACTTCCTCTTCACTTGGACCGCAGTTCGCGCGCTTCACGAGGTCCTCCAGCTCCATCGCATAACCGCTCATGCTTGATGCTGCATATTTGAACGAGGCCAACAGTTCTTTCAGCCAATGTCGATTCGCCATGTCATGACTATGATAAAACCACGCCAAATGTCCCCACACTTCTTTTGCAGTGGCAGAGTCGATGACATGCATCAGCTGCGAATCGCTCCGATTAAGCACGATCGCGGCGTGGGCTTGCTGTTCCTGGGTCTCACTCATTGTCTCATCGCCCGCGATCGCGCCCCACAGCCCCTTCGACATCAGGTACATCTTCATCTTGTAACTCCACAACCCAGGGTTCGAGCCGTCGAAAGGCTCGACCTTGAAACCGGAGTCGTTCCTTGGGCTCATAACCTGTTAAATTTAACTAGGTTGTGGAGCTGATGCTATGAAGAAGATGGCTTACGGCCGGGAATGAAAACCGAAAAGTGAGTTGTACCCAAATTGTTCCTAGGTCCAAAAGCGAATGGCTAGTAGTTGCCGGTGGCTCTCAGCCACCTATTTCGTGCCCTGTCTCCACCGCTTTCTGTTTTACCTATCACTGGGTAATTATTACGTCTCGTAAATTCCTTTCGTAAAACTCTGCTGTGTCATACGCAGAATGAAAACGATTGCGTGGGTGGGGGGACGTAACTGCGGGGGGGCACAGTTCTGGTGAACCCCAAACACCAGGTCGTGAGTGTCAGTCGCAATTTACTTGTACACGGCGGGGATTTAACCCGCACACTGTGAATCCCTCTTCCTTAACGACTGGGCCAATCCGATACATCGTCACCGCTAACATCCCACAATATAAACCTGCCAAAGAACAATACAACTAATGCAAATATGCAATATACACCCTGCACAAGTCGCCGCATCATCACTCGCTAACACTCCCCTTGATGTGCGTGCGACGTGTGCGCCCTACACCGCCATACACAGACCCGTGATGAACTTGCTGTGCTTGTCTCTTGGAAGTGCCTTGGTGAATCTATCCGCGACCATTTCTTCTGTTGGCTTGAACTCTAGCGCGACACTGCACTTGCAACCTTTTCACGCAAAAAGTGAAATTTGATGTCGATGTGCTTCGTGCGCGAGTGGTACACAGGATTCTTGGTCAACGCGATGCAACCTTGATTGTCTTGAAAAATCGTCGTCGTGTTCTTGGCACAGTAGTTCAGGTCCTTGAGTAGACCTCGAAGCCAAACTGCTTCCTGTGTCGCGCTGTACAGACTCATGTACTCTGCTTCAGTACGTGAGGTCGCGACCGTTGGTTGACGCTTCGAATTCCACGATATCACGCTTCCGTTCAGGAAGAAATCGTATCCTGTTGTCGAACGCCGCGTGTCGAGGTCGCCAGCCCAGCTGGCATCCGCGAGTCCAATCAGCTCTCCCTTGTTGATGCCGCTTAACACGATGCTTAAGTCTTGCGTCGTCTTGAGATACTTGAGAATCCGCTTTGCTGCTGTCCCATGCGACTTGTCGTAGCCCTCTCAAAACTTCGCAACTTCGCCAACCGCATGCGCAATGTCCGGTCGTGTACATGTGGCGATGTACATTAAAGCGCCCACCAGCTCACGGTATGGGTACTTTGGTACAAACGCTTCCTCTTGACCCATCTTGATCAGCTTCGAGTTTCTGTCCGCCGGCGTATGCACGTCCTTGCAGTTTTCAACGCCGAACTTCGCCGAAAATCGCTTGATGTACGCCTTCTGGTTCATCTTGATCGTTCCATCTTCGCGCTTGCGATGAATCTCGATCCCGAGGCAGTACTTGAGATCTCCAAGATCTTTAATGCTGAAGTCTTAAGTATCAATGAGTTCTTGATACTTGCGATGAGCTCCTTCGTCTTGCAGAAAATTATCAAGTCTTCCACGTAGATCACGATGATGATGTACTCCTCTCTTGTCACTCGAACGAACACACACGGGTCCGCTGCACTGCTCTTGAACCCTTGATCATCCAAGTGCTGACTCAACTTGTTGTTCCACTGCCGCGCCGCTTGCTTCTTCCCGTATAGCACCTTCTGCAGCAAACACTTCTTTTTCGGGCTTCCTTCATCTTCAAAACCGTCAGGTTGGTCCATGTAGATCTCCTCTTCCACTTCGCCGTCGAGAAACGCTGTGTCGACATCAACGTTTTCTGCTTCCAGGTCTTCAGCTGCAGCGATCGCCAACACTGTGTTGATAGATTCCTTGCGCGCCACTGGTGCAAAGGTCTCGTTGCAGTCGATGCCAGGACGCTGCGTGAACCCTTTCGCAACCAAGCGTGCCTTGAACTTGATGATCTCGCCACTTGGATCGCGTTTAATCTTGAAGACCCACTTGCAGCCTACGGCCTTCTTGCCCGGTGGCATGTCCACTAGCTTCCATGTGCTGTGTTCTTCAAGCGACTTCATCTCGCTCTTCATTGCCTGTAGCCACTGCTCCTTGTAGCTGCTCTTCATTACTTCTTGATAGCTGGACGCTTGTTCCCCATCTTCTTCAGCCGAGAAACAGTAGAAAGAGTCGAAATCACCTTCGTAGTCGTCCAAATTGAAGTGACCGCGACGATGGCTTGGAAATTCTTGTTCGTAGCGAACCACGCCGCGAATTTTCCGAACCGCTCGCACCACCCACTCTTCTTCTCCATTTCTTCCGGGTGTGCTGGATGCGCGCGTAGGAATGGTGTCTCTTGGTCGATCACTGTGCCCGTGATGAGAGCTGTTCTGCGCTCGAAGTGGTGGGGTGCGTAGCTCTTCTTCGGTCACCGGCGCTGGTATGTCTTCATCATCGGGTAGCGACGCCTCCACACTTTCCTCTTCTTCAATGACATAGAAGACCCGTGTGTCTCTGCTTAACGATAATTTCGAGACAGAATGCTCAGCGAACGTGACGCTTCTTGAAATCACGATTGAGCCATCGTCCGCACTAAGAAGCCGATACGCATTTTGATCCTTCGCACAGCCGAGAAAGAAACATCGCACGCCTGAGTCATCCAGCTTCTTCCTCTTCTCCTTTGCCACATGCGCATAGTATTGCGCACCAAACACGCGCATGTGATCGACGGTCGGAACTTTCTTGAACACCACCTCGTGTGGGCTTGAATTCTTGTTCGACGCGTTCGGCAGAATGGTTCTGATGTCTGCCGCTGTCATCAGTGCTTCGCACCAGTACGACTTGTCGAGGCCGCTTTCGTTGAGCATACAGCGCGTCATCTCCACCAGCGTGCGGTTCATCCGCTCCGCCATCCCGTTCTGCTCTGGGTTGTACGGAACCGTGAACTCTTGCTTGATGAACTTTGCCTTGCAAAAGTTGTTCATCGTTTCGTTCCGGTATTCGCCGCCGTTGTCACTTCGCAACACTTTTATCTTCGTTCCAGATGCTGTCTTGATATCTTGGTAAAACCGCTTGAACGCACTCGCAACGTCGCTCTTCTTTTGCAACGGATAGACCGTTACATACCTGCTCTTCATCATGATGAAGGTTACGGCGTAACTGAAACCAGACTTGGACGCTGGCGTGATAGGTCCGAGAACGCCGGAGCACACCACCACGTCGGAACGCGAGCTCTCCCTGGTTTCAGCGTCTTCTTCACTTGTCTTGAATGACTTGCGCACTTGCTTTGACGTTGCGCATACGTCACACGCAACGTTCGTCTTCATCGTTGCGCCCTTGATCCTTACGTCACTAATCATGGCATTCAGAGTACCATACGACACGTGGCCCAGTCTTCTATGCCATAGCTCAGTCTCGTCTTCGGCCATGTGGCACTCCGTACAATAGTCAGCGTTGAGATACAGTAGGAAATCCTGCTTCCGTCCTGTTGCGACGGGTTTCCTGCCATGCTTCACCACGCACTCGTTGCGCGTTATCTCCACTGTCATGCCGCGCGCTGCCGCAGCCGTGAGCGAAAACAGGTTCTTGGACGAATCTTGAACGTGAAGTGTGTTCTCAAGGCGAGCTTCGATCCACGCATGCCCTGTCCAGACGCGCAGCTTCACTTTCCCATGTCCAATGACGTTCAGCTTCACGTTGCTCTTTGCGCTTGAAATGCTTCGCGCATGATGCACTTCTTCGTACTCTTCGAACGCATCTCGATCCTTGCACATGTGTGCTGACGCCGCACTGTCCATGACCCAGCTGTCGCTCGCGAAACCTTCGCTGGCATTGAACGCGACATTCGACTGGTCATGCTGGTGCTCCCTTGGCCCTCGACCGGAGCGACAATCTCTGGTGTAGTGTCCGACCTTGCCACAGTTGTAGCAGGTCCCTGATGGTCCTTTCGCGCGCCGTCCTTGTTGCTTCTTCGGGTACTGCTTACTCTTCCTCGTGCCTGCGTAGAGCGCCGTTGCATCATCTATCCGTGCAGCCTCATTCTAGCGGACTTCTTTGGCGATCAACTTGCTCACGAGGTCACTAAAACTGAAGCTTGCGACGGACATGCGGAATGCCTGTACCAAGCTCTCGAAGCTTGAAGGTAGACTCCGCAACAGTACTGCGCACACTTCCTCTTCACTTGGACCGCAGTTCGCGCGCTTCACGAGGTCCTCCAGCTCCATCGCATAACCGCTCATGCTTGATGCTGCATGTTTGAACGAGGCCAACAGTTCTTTCAGCCAATGTCGATTCGCCATGTCATGACTGTGATAAAACCGCGCCAAATGCCCCCACACTTCTCTTGCAGTGGCAGAGTCGATGACATGCATCAGCTGCGAATCGCTCCGATTAAGCACGATCGCGGCGTGGGCTTGCTGTTCCTGGGTCTCACTCATTGTCTCATCGCCCGCGATCGCGCCCCACAGCCCCTTCGACATCAGGTACATCTTCATCTTGTAACTCCACAACCCATGGTTCGAGCCGTCGAAAGGCTCGACCTTGAAACCGGAGTCGTTCCTTGGGCTCATAACCTGTTAGAATTAACTAGGTTGTGGAGCTGATGCTATGAAGAAGATGGCTTACGGCCGGGAATGAAAACCGAAAAGTGAGTTGTACCCAAATTGTTCCTAGGTCCAAAAGCGAATGGCTAGTAGTTGCCGGTGGCTCTCAGCCACCTATTTCGTGCCCTGTCTCCACCGGTACCTGTTTTACTTATCACTGGGTAATCACGTCTCGTAAATTCCTTTCGTAAAACTCTGCTGTGTCATACGCAGAATGTAAACGATTGCGTGGGTGGGGGACGTAACTGCGGGGGGGCACAGTTCTGGTGAACCCCAAACACCAGGTCGTGAGTGTCAGTCACAATTTACTTGTACACGGCGGGGTTTAACCCGCACACTGTGAATCCCTCTTCCTTAACGACTGGGCCAATCCGATACATCGTCACCGCTAACATTTTACAATATAAACCTGCCAAAGAACAATACAACTAATGCAAATATGCAATATACA